CTCAGTAGTCTTCACTTGTTCCAAAGTAATCAACGCTTTCAATCCATAGAATTCGTGGACCGACACGTTTCGGAAAAGCTCTTAATTTAATCTTTTCTAAACATGCGTGGCTTCGCTCACGCAACGATTCTTAGTCACAGTTTCCACTGTCTCCGCAAGGAACGCCTGGCACAATGATCCCCATTTGTGTATAAAAGACGACGAAACCCCCCCCCCCGGGTGGGTGAGGGGGTACTTCCAGAAAAATTGGATGGGGGTATGCGGTACGTTTCCTGAATACCTTATTTCAGACAAAAATCTGTGATTTTCCCCACCCTTTTTCACACCTGATCCCAAATTTTATACCCTATTTCAGACCTGAAGCGCTGGAGCCCGGCGCGTGACCATCTGTTACGACACGTACACGGTTGGCGTAAACATTTAAAGGGAAATTGTCTTGTCGTCAAATGATGAAAATCATACCCAATTCAAGAGTAGAGTGCACAGACCATACCCTGTTTCACACCAAAACGGCTAAAAAACATACCCGTTGGCGCAGCACATACCTATATAGCCTATATAAACTAGTTGCAGTTTATGAGTCTCGTTGCTTACGCAAGCGAGACTAATAATTTCCGCAAACTGAGTGCCTTTTCAAGATCAAACTTTAAACAGTTTGATCTTGAAAAGGTTTGGCCCAACCTTTCAAAAAGCAATCCACTGACGTCTGCGAATCCCGAAGACGAAAAAATAAAAATGAAAAATGAAACAGAACAAAGTTTGGCTCTTCAGAGTAAAGAAAAAAAAATACAGGTATAGCTTTTTTTTTTTTTTTTTTTGCGTAAAGAGTAGAAAAGGCATCCTAATTCGGAAATATTCAGCCTTTCCGAACTGATTTGAGATTGGTTGAACAACGTTGGCAAATGGCTGCAGTTTTGAAATTGTAAATTAAAGCTCCACAGCAAAGTATTCTACTTATAATGCTTAAATTTCTCCACACGCTTGCTTTAGATCTTCCAGATATTTGTCTGCAGTTTTTGTCCGGGAAATTTTAGTCGGCAGGAAGAAAAATTTTTACAGACAAATGCATAGAAATTTTTAAATGTGGTTCTAGCGCATGTAGCTGTGTATAACGCCCTCAACTTTTTCAGTAGAATCCTTATTAGGAGTGAAGCTTTAGTTTACAATTCATGTTTTTTTTCAGAACAGCCGTTTTACGGAAATTACTCGACATTAGGTTCTCATACAAACACTGTAATTTCTCACGCGGTTGCGTACTCGTCAAGATGTCTTCCAAAACCATGACAAGGTCTAATGAATTGGATAGTCATATGCGAATGAATCCTAAAACAAATGGTAAAAGAAGAGTTCAGCAGACAATTTAAAAATATGATGAAGTATCCTCCAAACCTTTTCAAGATCAAACTGTTTAAAGTTTGATCTTGAAAGGGCACTCAGTTTGCTTTTCCCTTAGTTTTATTAGATGAGACAGAAGATTCAAGAACAAGCGCAAAGTCAAGAAACCGGAGACAGGTTTCGAACGTGACTTCAGTAACCATCAGTATGCATGACGTCCGCCACGAAATCAGAAAACAGTTTGAACAACTTATGCCCACCAAGTACTGTAAGTGTTTTTATAGATAATAAAAAAGGAAAGAAAATGGAGCGCAAATGAAACAAAACGAAACAAAACGAGTTTTACTACGTGTTTGATGAAAGAGGTGTGGTATAATAAAATATCATGCCGTGCCCAAACAAGTAAGTGCTTCAACGAAACGGATGATTTGTCGATAAAGTTTAGTTGTTCACAACATTTAACAAAATGAAAGGCTTTGCGGTTTAGAGTCAATTACCCATGCTTAAGTACGTCTAGGAAGCGTAAGCAACATTTTTGTGTGGAATCTAGCTTAGAAAGAGTTATAAATTACTTCATAAATTGTGAAAGAGTTGTTCAAACGAGCTAATAAAGCTTCAGTAAATATTTTCAGAAATTCTAAAAGCATTAAATATCTCAATACGAAAGAGAAAAATGTATCGTAATTTGCAATCAACAGTCTCTGAAAAAAAGAATAAAACGGATATTAAGCTTTCAGACTGAATAAAATTTTACATATTAATTTATTATCGACTTTTACTGTGTAACTTGAGGTCCTAGCTTTTTGCAAACTTGCCATGGAATCTCAAACTGATACTGAGTTCACCTGCTTACTTCAATCTATACACGCTCCATAAGCCTATCCTGGTTTGAGATCATTTTGAAAAAACTATCATGGATAATTAATCCTCTATTCATTTGAAATAACAAAAGAGAAACTCAACTGTAGCAATGAGCTTGTTATCTTGCTTATCTTCAAAATATAATTTTTTCCCAATTAACTGAGCAAAGGAATAACTTTTTGTTTCGTATGTTATTTGGGGAAGATTTTCTTAAAATTTAGGATAATATGTAAGAAGAAATCAATATTAATCACATGGCGCCAAGCATCAATTTGAAAATTTCATTACGCTCTACCCTCAATTTTTGGCACAGTTTTTTGTTGATGTAAGAAGACAATAAAGAAAAAAATATTAGCAAGCCACCTCCTGCTGAGTTCACTGGGAGCGAACTGGCCAGTGACCAATTTTCGATGATCAATTTACTTTGCTACATGAGCTTGATACTCTACAAATTATCTAGTCAACTAAATGACAACATTTGTATTGGGTTCGTTATAAAATATTAAATAATATCAAATTGTCACCATCGCAACTCTGTTTAAGTCGAATTCCATTATTGGGGATCGACACACCTTACTCTATATATGTTGAACTCATCAACTACCTTGAGGAAAAAGGTTTCAAGATACTGAATACCGCACCAAGACTCCTGGAAACTGGTGAGAATTTTCGTTTTGTCCCTTTTTTAACTTAAATGATTCCTTTTTTAACCGATGTAAGGGTATTTTGTTGGAGTTTTCTCCTATGTATTTCAGTACTTCATGGCTTACCGTTAGTTTAGTACAGTGTAAGGCTCCAGCATCCAGCTGGTTACGTTTCGTGTTCTTTAAAAGCTATCATGAAGAAAACTCTCAAAAAAGAAGAAATAATTGAGTTATTAACAAGTAGCCATGTCAAGTATTCACACAGCTTGCACCGAATTGCAGTTGCACTCACGTTCAGATCTCAGTTTTTTATTCCTACAGTTCCATAAGGACCATTTATCGCCTCCCTCTCAGAATACTTCTGATCGGTATGACTTCGTCTTTTTCCACAAACGATGTTCGTCTGGGAGGAAGTCCTGACGAAGCGCTAAAGGCTTGTAACTATTAACCTTTTAATTTTTACTGTTACGCGCGTAGTCATCTGGGCCGATGTTTGAGAATTTCAAAGCAAAAAGCACCTCTGTGAATGTCCAGAAGAATGACCTTTTCTCGTTAGTAGTATGTTGCCTATTACAGAAAAGAGGGATGATTTAGTTTTGAACGCCGTCAGTTTTTATTTTATTTTAGTTTTTTAGCTCATGAGCGCTTAGTTCAGAAAAAAAAAACGTTCCTGAGCCAAAAATAACACTACAAAGTTCTAGAAATGAGCGTTAAAATTCCAAGTAGTGGCACAGAACTCCTAAGGTGTCAGTTTTTGTTATTTTATTTTAATATATTTTCTGAATGGTATTAGAAGAGGATCGAACATTAAACGAAACGATATTTTCTTACGGTGAAAATAATCGCCTGTTCAGCGTGGAATATACTCCGGATTGAGAAATCGGGTTTGTCAAGATGGTGAGCCCTAAAACTGTCTTTTGCAATTAAACATTTATGGACATAAGTTATTGATTATTTGGTATGTCTTCGTAAAAGGAATTATCGGCGCCAACCATTTGAAAATTCCATTTTCATTATAGTGGGCGATCTGCATGTCGTGTCAAATTACTCCTCGCAAATAACTGAAGCCGGCCGTGGGCTGATGACATTTACGTTTTAGCTTCCATTAGCCGGTCGCGGGCCGTTAATTAACTGTGCCAGTTGACAATAGTATCGGTAACAAAATTAAAACTTAATGTGCTACTTTCTTGTCGAATTTGTATTATTGCATGGGCATTGGCCATATTCCCACTAATTTCGCTGGCTTTAAATTTATTATTTCCCTTAACTTAAATATACTACCTAGAATTTGAGGAGTGTGGGTGGAAAAAATAGCTAATTTAAAGTAAAAGTTTTAAGCAATTCTGGTTCTCTAATAATTGTCGCCCGCGTACCAATTTTGGAGTCAAAAATTATTTGCTTTCGCTACTGTTACCATCATAACCATAGTAACCATTAATTGACAAACGTTTTTTTATTCAAGAACCTAGAACAGGTTCTGCTATTTTTCAACAAAAAAAGGGTACTTTTTAAAACTCTTATTTTCCCTTTGATCATATGAATTCGAATTATGAGGAAGATCATCGTTTTCCATCGTTTTGATAACGAGTTGAATAAATGTGAAAAACCGAGGGCGTTAATGTTGCTAGTTATTTTACCGATGTTTTAAATAGAAAGCTAAGCTTCTCCTCTGGTATCTGATTCTCTTAAGGTGTTAAAATCACTGAGGAAATATAAGAATTAAGTTTTCTTATCACGGCACAAATTTAAGCCTAAGCAGGCTGATTACAAAAGGCTTTTTTGCAACGAAAGGGGAGGCAGTAGTGGTAAGGCAAATCACTCGTTTCAGCGACTTTGAAAGCAATAACTAAATTTCGTCAGTGAGACTTTCAATTGTCTTTCCTCGTTTTATTCTCCGTTAACCCTTCTTTATTTAGGGGGTTTTGAAATAGACAGCGTCCAAGGGATGGCGAATTGCGAATCACTTCGGCTGTTATTTTGTGTTAACTATTAATAGAAAATTTGTATACAGCTTGTTTATGATCACGAAACTCTCATAACATTCTTGTAATGAACCTAAAACATAGGAAAAGGCTACAAGTGACAGGATACGAAAAACATTTGTAAAGTGCTCGTTTTATTACAATTTACTTTTCTATACTTTAGACGGGAGTTCCAGACATGACAGCGAGAATAGTGTTCCGTATCTCAGTTGTGGCTCTCCTGCTCTACCTCGCAGTAACTCAAAAATGTCCTGCAAGTGGAAGATCCGAAAGTTCCATCATTGGCTGGATGTTGCGAGGACACGTATACGACACTCTTCTAGCGGAACTTCCCTTTACATGCGTATTCAAGTGTCGAGAAGACAATCGATGCCAAAGTTTTAACTGGGTGATCTCTCTTCTCACTTGCGAGTTTAACAACAGGACAAAGGAAGCCAGGCCGGAGGATTTCATTCCAAACCCAGACAGATCTTACTATCCACGCGATTTAAAGCGAGGTGAGCCAGCATACCAAGGAGGGGGTCTCCCTATAATGGCCTATACGGGGATCGGAGGATCCGACTGGAAGGGGACTATAAGTTACATTTCGCCTGAACTAGCTCCGCTTGAACATTTAGGCTCAAATCTGTCTTTTGGAGTAAATTGAAGACCGATGCTCAGATGTCAATAAAAAAAAAAGGTGGAAGTTCCACGGGAAGGCTTTTTAGTAACATTTATCTGGAAACTTTTAAAGTCCTCGTGACGAGTACGTCAACAATGACGTTACTATGGAAACCGATTATTGACAGCCGTGTTTTCAAAATTAGCATTTTCTCTTAAAACTGAGGTTTTATTTCTATTTTTACTAACCGTATATCATTATAGTTATCACTTACTTTAGCATTATTTACATATTATAAGTCACATTTATTGACAGCATGGACGCACGTGGTGCCAAAAATAAGATGTGCTGGGTTTGATTGTTGGAGCAGCTTCTTTTGCTTTTACTTTTGCAGTTATTTTTTGTTTGTCTATGTACTGTAGATTTCATATTTGTATATTTTCTTTTCCCAACTGACCTTTTTCACTTTCCTTCTAATTCTTGCCGGCATAAACCCCTAGAGCTTCCCACACCCCCCTCCCCTCTTTTTCTCTCTCCCACTCCACACTTCGGCAGTAAGTAAAATGTATGCAGGGTAAAAGCATACTGATAAATTAATATAGATCTGTTTCTGACCTTTTAGTTCCCCTTGGTTCGATTCAAGAATTGCCAGCTGAGACTTGTGACGAAATAAAGAGGAGTGAAGGACAGGCTGTTAGCGGGAAATATTGGTTTTCCACTGTAAAATCTGGTACATCTGTTCTGGCTTATTGCAATATGAAGACCAACGGTGAGTTTGGTCAGTTGTATTATCGGCGACTGATTAAGCTTGTTAATTTTTTCGATATTTTATCGACCGTTCAATAATGTTTGTTTGTGTAGACATTGACGAATGCAGTGTTTCCCCTTCTGTATGTGACCTCAACGCCAACTGCTCCAATACTCGTGGATCTTATTACTGCACTTGTAAGGCAGGATACACTGGCGATGGAAAAACTTGCCAAGGTAATATAAGATACTTTAGCTAATTTCAACAGAACTGAATATTTCCATTAGAAAGTGTTTTCTTTAATAAATGTTGTTCTTCTTAGACACTGACAAGTGCAGTGCTTCTCCTTCTGTATGTGACATTAATGCCAACTGCTCCAATACTCGTGGATCGTATTACTGCACCTGTAAGACAGGATTTACAGGCGACGGAAAAAATTGCCAAGGTAGGAGAAAATACTTTAGCTAATAAGTTAGTTTACTGCTGTACCATCAGAGATGGCAGTTTCCTGGAGACGTGTGACATCATTTAAAATGGCGGCTAATAATGAGATCGCGGTAATCCATTGAATCCGTGTTTGTTTCTGGTATCGGGACGATTGATGTGTTTTCTACACTTAAAATGCAACGTTTGAATTCAATTATTTAACGGAAAGTGATGTTTAAATAGACGGCTTCACGATCATAGTTGCATTATGGGTAATCAGGGCAAGAGGGCAGGAAATTCAAAGATTTGTATTGGCATTCAAAGCAAGCTAATTCTTCCTGAATTCATACATTTGATGCTTTCTCCTTGAAGAGAATAAATTTATTTAAGAGTTCCAAGCACTAAATCTGGGGTGCAAAGAAGTCCGTGATCATTTATTAGAAAACCTTGATTTCTCCTTTCATTTTCTGTAATTCGACAGTATCAAAATTACAGAAAATGTATGGAAAAGTTGAGGTTTTCTAAAAACTGATCTTGGGCTATTATGCAATGCAGATTCAGCTCATAAGTTACACTTTTCAAAGAGAACGTGGTAAATATATATGAATTCAGGAAGAATAAGCTGGCTTTGAATTCCGATACAAATCTTTGAATTTCCCGCCATCTTGCCCTGATTACCCATGATGCCACTATGAACGTGTTCAAAGACGGCTACTAAAATCGGATCCCTTGACTTTGCACGTGCAAGCTAGTGAAGACTGAGTTTTTGGAATTTCCATTTTGTATTTTTTTTTTTTTTGTATTTTATTATTTCCTCCATTTATTTATATTACAGGCCATTCATATTTTATTACAGATTCGAAGATACCATTCATAAGATTTCAGTTATGTATCACGAATTACAGGAATAAATGGTCGGGAGAAGGGCAAGATATTGTGAAACTTAAATTACATGCCCTATGATTAAATTACAGTTTTATTTAGGGTAAAAGAGAAAAAAAGATAAGTATATGAAGTATGAAATATAAAAGAGAGGAAAAAGAAAAGTACACAAAAATCTTTAAGAACATAAGAGGGTCGGTATGGCGGTGATTATACTGAGCAAGATAACGGGTAGCATAGTGTTCGTTTAAACTTTTAAATCTCTAATGTCAATTTTATTACGAGGAAACGGACTTAGCTTAGGATCATGCGAAAGAGTCAAGACTGGCAAATTATCAGCTATTTGTAGAGCAATGCTACCACTAGTACTTGACGTTATAAGTTAGAAAGAATGTGGTCTAAACAACTTGTTATCGACTCGGTTATGCGGGTTTATTTTATTTTATTTTATTAGCTTCGCCTATTACTAAACAATGAATAATAAATGCTTAATAGGCAGGGGTGCCACGACAGCGGTGAGCCAATTACAGTGGTCTCAGAGCTTAAAAGATATGTAAGAAACAGTGAAACTTCTTATGACCATTAAAAACAACAACGGAGACGGCCGATAGACACGTTACGTTACATAAGCCTGTCCCTCAATATGTTCACAATATGGTCACAAATGAATGGTAGATCCAGTATACTTTGTAGCGCGCCTATGGACACAATCGAGCTTTCGAATCAGGTCTATTGACTGCGGAGTCCAGACTTGCGTGGCATAGCCAAGATGGGATCTTACTAGAGTAAGGTATGCCGAGTGTCTAACCGTAATGCTTTTGACGAGTCTGGTGTCTGGTGTTTCTCCGTACATATCCCAGGGGCCTGCTGGCCTTTAAGCGCATTGCACATTGACTTGCTTATTCTGCGGGAGGTTATCAGTGATGTAAGATCCTTCTCGGCAGAGTCAACTTCAAGCTGAGAGCCGGCCATATGATAGACAAAGATGACGGGTTTAAGTTTCCTAGTATGCGCTGTGCTTTGCATTTGCTGTAGTTAAAGTTTAGGCTATCTGACGTGGTCGAGTGGTCAGATTCTTCTAGGTCCTCCTGAAGTTTTTCTGCATCGCGCGTTGATGTTATTTCTTTGAAAACCTTTGTGTCATCGGCAAACGCGGCAATCTGGCTTGATCTAACAACATCTGGCAGAGAGTTCACACACAGAAGGGTTGTGGGTTGATTATGGCGGATTGCCGATTGCAGACATTGCAGATGATAATGAGAGATGCAAAAAAAGTGTGTTGAGTTCTGACAAAGACAGCTAAAAAGGAGCAGCTAGATGGAAACCATGAAACATTTTTCCCTTCTTGATGCATTTTTAGTTCTATTAAGAATTCAAAGTGGACTAGTGATTTTTTAATTAGAGTTGTTTTTCTTAGGCATAGACGAATGCAGTGCTTGCCCTTCTGTATGTGACATCAACTCTAACTGCTCCAATGCTCGTGGATCGTATTCCTGCACTTGTAAGGCAGGATTTACAGGCGATGGAAAAAACTGCCAAGGTAGGAGAAAATACTTTAGCTAATAGGTTAGTTTACTGCTGTACCACCAGAGATGAGCAGCTAGATGGAAACCAAGAAACATTTGTCCCCTTTTAATGAGTTTTAATCTCCTTTCAGAATGGATCGTTCATGACTTAATAGTTCTTTTAAGAATTCATTGTGATTTTTAATTTATGTTGCTTTTCCTAGACGAATGCAGCCAACCCCCCTCCCCCCCTTCTGTACGCGATATTTACGCACTATAAATGTTAGCTCTAAAATGGGGTGTGTCGAGTGGCGGAGGTTGTAGGAGTTTAGGCTGAACACGAGGAAATATAGCCCCTTGCAGCTTGACCAGTCTATATATAAAATCAGTCTAAAAGCGAGTGCCCGTTCAAAGAAATGATGACAGACGGAAGATGGCAGAATACAATCAAGGTGGAATTGTTCAATTTCGAGGCCAACATTGAAAGAGAGAGAAAAAAGGACTTTGAGCACGACATTGCAGCGTCATTCCTTCAATTGACCCAAGTTCTAAATAAAGTAACAAATTGTAGGTAAAGGGAGAGTAACTATACGTCTCTGTCTGTCTGATTAATTTATTCACATCCCATCAGGATCGATAGTTCCAACAGAATGTAACTCCTACATTGACCTTGATGAGCCTGGCCGATATTGGAGCAATAATAGTGGTTCTGTAATCTGCGATCGGGGTGACCCTAAATTTGTCAACAATAAGTGGTATCGCTTTGTTGGAGGAGCTGGAAGGATGATGGCGTCGTATTGCATTCCCAAATCAAGTTGCAGTTCCCATAGATCTTCATGGATAAATGGTGATCATCCGACTAGTCTCTACACCACGGTGACAACAACTGTATGCATGCACTGGAGTTCAGACTGCTGCCAGAGATCCTACCCCGTTGACATAACACGATGTGACGGCTACTACGTGTATAAACTGCAAAAGCCCACATCATGTTCTGAGCGTTACTGTGGTGTTTTAGGTGAATATTCGAAAAAAATACCTTTTTGATAAGTCTTTAATGACTGTGTTTGTTTTAATTACGTGCAAGAAGATTTATCCTCCTTGCTATAAATTAAAGAGTTTCCCTTCGTTGTCATATGCATAGCATCATTTGAAAGACAACTTGTTATTCGATGGCACTTCTATATATATGTTCGAACTTCTATCATTTCCTCGAATAATAGCCGGGGGCGATTATTTCTTTTTTCGCACCAAAAGGGGGCGGTAATTCGAGGGAGGCGATTATTTCAAATATTGTTCACAAGAAGTCGTGCCCTGAATATTTTGAATTTTCCATTTTCCCATTAATTAAATTAAAAAAAAAAAACGTCAAATTAAACTGAACCTTGGCATTTAAAGTGTTCCAAATTTGGTTTCTTGATTAATTTTCACCGTAAATGTCCTCGGCGTCAAATCTTGAATCGTCACTGATCAGTTATGCTGGATCAGACTCCCATTCAGCCTCATCCTCAACTTTACCGCGCTATGGGTATCCCTAGCGGGTAACCTATATGACCTATATGGGTGGGAGAGGGGCGATTAATCGAGGGACGGCTACTATTCGAGGAAATACCTTATTTCGTGCCCGTTGCTTCTTCCACATTTTCTCATCATTAATTTTCGCTGTCACGCAGATGCAAATGATGCCTGTTTTGGAACCGCAGGATCAGACGTCTGTGCTTGTAATCCGGGTTATAGAGGAAGTCCTTGTTCTGGTAGGTAAATACATACTTGCACTTAGACTCGTACGGTCTCACTTTGAACAGAATGCGGACATCATTATCATTATCATCATCATCATTGTATTTGATAAAGTAGGTTAATAGGCGCATACATGCGTTTTGATGTTGATACTTTAGGGAAACTGATTAAGAGACCCTTCTTCTACTTTCCTTCTAAGTGAAAATTAATTCACGATAATCATTCATATCGTATTAAATTGAAATTTCCCTTTTCCATTATTATCGTCCCCTGCAGCTAGCTCTATTTGAATAAACTGCATTCTGTATTAAATAAGAAGAAGAATTCTAACACTTGAAAGCTTCGAAAAAAATTTCCGAGCTCCTGGTGAGAATCGAGAATCACTTCTCTATAACCACTGAGCTACTGGAACGCTAATGGCGAGCAGGTCGGAATTTCAAAACAAGTACACCAGACGTTTAGGCGTACAAACCAAACGTTGTTTATTTAAAGAAGAAGAAGAAATATAACACTTGAAAACACAGAATAACTTCCAAGTAAAGTAGCACAGGTCCCGGAGTTAATACATCAGACTTTTTGGGCAACGTTATTGTTTTTTGTTATTTAATTTGTTTTTGTCAATTTCTCTTCCTTCAGTTCTCACCGGTACCGGATTCATTCTTTTTGCCCAAAATTCCATTTGGACTATTAATAATTATTCAGGCTT